CATATTACTAATCAAAAATTAAGTTTTGATATATTTACAGTAGGAAATTTACAGAATATCTTCATGGAACATGATCTTTTCTTAATATCCTAATGATTTTTGGCATAAAAGAAAAATCAATAATTTTGACCCATACTATGTATTTTTGGCTATTGCTGCAAATATACCCCAGCAACTTAAGACAGGTTTTGTGGTCAAGGGTCACATATTTTAAAATATAATTTATTCCTGTGATGCAAAGCTGAATTTTCAGCATCATTACTCCAGTCTTCAGTGTCACATGATCCTTCAGAAATCATTCGGATATGCTGATTTGCTGCAAAAGAAACCATGATGCATTTTTTTCAGGATTCTTTGATGAATAGAAAGTTCATCAGAACAGCATTTATTTGAAATAAAACTATTTTGTAACATTATAATTATTTATATTGACACTTTTGATCAATATAATGGTTACTAAATAATAGTATTTATTCATCTTTTGTTCCTATCTTAATCGCTAGTGGTGTCCATTGAGGACCCGTTTGATCAGGACGACTGGGCCGCTTGGACTAACATGACGGGCTCCATGGGGATCCAGATCGTGGGCGACGACCTGACCGTGACAAACCCAAAGAGGATAGAGAAGGCTGCGGAAGACCGCGCATGCAACTGTCTGCTCCTGAAGGTCAACCAGATCGGCACCGTCACAGAGGCCATCCAGGCGTGAGTAACCAGACACGTCAATCTCTAAATCATGCCCCATAAACCATAGTTTATTACCAGCATTTCCAGCTCCTAAGCTTCTCATTTGGAACTGTGTGTCCCTCAGATGTAAGCTCGCTCAGGCCAACGGCTGGGGCGTGATGGTCAGCCATCGCTCAGGAGAGACAGAAGACACTTTCATCGCTGATCTAGTGGTGGGACTCTGCACTGGACAGGTACACACAGTGTTAGCATTATGTACAAAGAGGATACGTTTTTCAAAACCATCTTAATCAAACTTGAACTCTTTCTCTCTCTTATTTTTCAGATAAAGACAGGAGCTCCATGTAGATCTGAGCGTCTCGCAAAATACAACCAACTTATGAGGCAAGAGAGCATTCAATCTTACTATTTTTGAGCAATCGAGTAAAAAATGATTTCAATCCCCAAAACAATGTCCAAATAATTGTCACATACTTTTTGCCTTTTTTTTTAAATAGGCTTTTGCTAAAATTTTTAAAGTGTTAGGTTTTGCTTGCAACTTGTTTTTTTTTGTATCATAGAGATATTATTATAGTTTTTATTAATGGTTTTATTTTTTTAAATATATTTTTCATTTTCATTTGAATTTTTGTTAAAGTTTCAGTCATTTTGTTGTGTGTTTTGTTGGGTTTTATTTTTTTATTTTTTATTTTTTTATTTCATTTTATTTAATTTAACAATAATTTAATTTTATTATATAAAGTACAGTTTTAATGGTTTCGTTTTTAGATAACTACAATAACCCTGGTAAAGCCACAACTGTTGACTTTTTTTATATATTTAAAGTTACTGCTAGAATTGTTCATACTTATTTTTAGGTATCTAACAGTAAGTATTGAACCCCTTGCTCAACTTGTTTGCTTTTTCATTCTCTATACAATTGGATGATAAAAAAAAAAGTTAAATAAACCCCATAGACTTCCATTTAATGAAGGCAATTTTCTTTAGAAAATGTAAAAATGTTTGATTGTGCATCAGCACATACAAATGAATATGACTCAACTGACTGAAAAAGTCCCAGTCTCAAAAATAGCGTTGGCCACATAAGAAACCAATAATTACTTGGATTAACATCGTTGATTACAGTCTTCTAGCTGTTTCTCTATCACCTCCTGTTCCCGTATAATTAATCCATGTCCATCTCTGCCAATCTGTCTGCTTTTTCCTGCCTCACAGGATTGAAGAAGAACTGGGCGATCAGGCTCGATTCGCCGGGCACAATTTCAGAAACCCTAGCGCTCTGTGATACTGACACCACCACACCGAAATCACACAAAAAACAACTGACCAACAGAGTATGTACTGCACTGAACCGACTGACTGCCCTTGACGTCCCCTCAAATCATTCAAAATGCATTAAAACAGCACTATTTGCACTGATATACAAAAAATTACTTGCTCAGACTCTCAAAGTATATATTTAAACTGAACTGGACTGTGGACAGTCTTTGATAGACCAAATATTATGCACAGTGGATCCTGGAGCGAGCAACATTATGCACTAGTGATACTGAATTACTTGATGGGCAAAACATGTGCACAGGGTGGACATGCATGCGTATGATACAGAAAATGGACCTTGAATTTAACAAAGCAAAGACTTTTAAAAAGAAGGATTTAACTCAGATGGAATAAAAGTAGAGATTTATTTTAATCAGGTGTAATCTTTAAAATGAAGCTTCAGTTTAGATGTGAAATGTATGTACATAAAAAAACACCGTCTAGGTTGACTTGCCGCGCTAAAGAAATCAAATGTAATTTTTATGGTTCATTGCATGAGAACTAGGCAAAAATCTATAGATTTTGGAATAAGGAGAGTAGAAAAATCAAATAGTTACCTGACTATTTATGCAGCAGTGGGATTTTCGAAGTCGTTTGCCCAGGGCATTAGATGCTTTTTATCAAACAATACTCTCTTTCTCAGTTGCTGTTTTTTGTGTCCATCTCTGACCCAAAAGCATGCTGAGAAAAAAGAGCTTTTTAAAACAAACTGTTATTTATTCAAATCAACAAATAAAATAAAATAGGGTGTTATAAAACAGATAGTTCCGGTCCTTGATTCTGATTGGCTGATGAGAAAAAAGAGCTTTTTAAAACAAACTGTTATTCATTCAAATCAACAAATAAAATAAAATAGGGTGTTATAAAACAGATAGTTCCGGTCCTTGATTCTGATTGGCTGATGAGAAAAAAGAGCTTTTTAAAACAAACTGTTATTCATTCAAATCAACAAATAAAATAAAATAGGGTGTTATAAAACAGATAGTTCCGGGTGAATTTATAACAGCTAAGGAGGTTTTAGGCACTCCGCTTAGCTGTTATAAATTCACTGTAAACCACGGCTTCTTGGGGCTTATTGCTTTATTTTAACCTCTGACATAAAAAGAAAAAGCAAAGTGTTTTACTCATTTTAGTATATGAAGCATTTAAAATAATATGTGTAGAATATATTTATTTCCACAAAGTTCATAAGTTTCTGTATATCTTGGAAGGTCTAAAATATGTCCCGATTATGTTATGATATTGTTGTCTTATGGCTCCCTACATAGATCAACACAGCAAAAAATGAATAAATAAAGAGAATGAAATCTGAAGGATCGACCATAAAGCTCACACATCACTTCTAATAATAATAATTATATTCAAGAGCCCCCTAATCTTCATAAGTCTGCCTGATTTTCTACATGCAATGACTCTTAAAATGTACTTTCACGTTTTCTTTTACCCTGGATCTCCATCCTAAAGGGGAAGTGGACGTTTTTTGCATTGAATAAAACAGTCTGTAAGTGAGCCATCTGTTTGGCACATTTCTGGCTCAACCAATGGCGTGTGTTTGGGGCGGGGCTACCATTGTCCAAATATATAAGAGACAGCTATAGGAATGACACACTTCACTTCTGCTTTAAGATGAATGATCAAAATCCAGACATACCAATCACGATGACAGATCTGATTCAAGAACTGGACCGACAGACACGCTTACATGAATAGAGACCAAACACACTCGCTCACTCACATTTGTGTAGCAAAGTCTCACTCTCAGTGCACACGATTCCTTATTCTCTCCCCCATGGACTTGTAGTCTGTGTTGCTTCCTTTCTCGTCGTTTCATCCGTCTTCTCTCCCCCTTTCCCTTCTTGTGGTTATGACTTGGCTTGTTCCCCCCATACCTGAAATCTTTTTCCTCCCTGATGACTTATCTTTTCACCATTTTGTGAGATTATTGTGGTGAAAGAAGGAAAAGAATGCAAGATGGAGAGAAAAAAAAACAAAACTGACAAGCCTGTCAGTGAATAATGTTATGGAATATTAAAGCTGTCATTACTTTCGTCAACCTTGAGTCCCTATGCGTGTTTTCTTCTCGTCGTTAAAAGCAGAGGACGTTTAAATGGCTTTTCACCATTTAGACCCTCGATTATAGAACAGGATAGTGTTTTAATGGGTTTTAAAATTGTATTTCTTGTCATGTTCATTAGAAAACTCATAAAAAAATACTATGAGTCACTATAACTCATTAAAAGAAATGACTTTGATTATAAGAACCATGATTTCTGAAGGATCATGTGACACTGAAGACTGGAGAAATGATGCTGAAAATTCAGCTTCGCATCACAGAAATAAATTACATTTTAAAACATTAAAATAGAAAAATTATTTTATTAAATATTTTTTTATATTATATTTTATTTTGAATTGTAATAATATTTCACAATATTACTGTTTTTAGTGAAATACATAAATGCAAACTTGATGCTTCTTAATGATAAAACTAATTGTAAAAACATTTAAATTACATTTTCAAATTTACACCATTTAGCCTTTAGTTTCAGTACGCACAGCATTTAAGTAAGTGATTAAATCAGAAAAAAAAAAAAAAACACTACGAGAAGACAGGACAAAAACGTTTTTAATTTTCTACCGAGGTAGTCATTTCTACAGAGGATAAAGTGCTCATTAAGTCACTACAAACTCAGTTAAGCATTCAACGCTGGTCTTGTAAGTTAATCAATGTGGAGAATACAGTATGTTAGTGCTCTGGAAGTGCATAGACAACACAGCAGTTAACTCGAGTGCAGCAGCAATAACAAACTAACATGCCCAAGCTCTCTTCTATTACTTTAAGTGGAAAGGGAGTTGATGTTAATATTCCAGTCCAATAACCCACCCTGACTGTTTAACAAGCAGGTGAGCAAAAGCAACACAACCACAAATGCACTTTCAGACCTGCTGGAATGACAAGAAGCTGGTATACACTGATTGGGCAGTGCGGCAGTTTTGGACCGTCAAAATTTATTTTGGACCGCGGGCATTTATGATGTCAACAAACTCTGGCTTAAGGGAAGCCCCTCCAACCAGGAAGCCATCGACATCAGGCTGGGCTGCCAGCTCTTTGCAGTTTCCTCCAGTAACGGAGCCTGTGGTATGAAGAGAGAAGAACATAAGTGGTGAGTTACCAAGAGAGCAAACTAAGAGTAAATGTACTTGTTAAATTGTTATTAAGTAAAAAGGGATCAGCATTGAGTCAGTAGAGATACATGTCCATTACATTACATGTTATAAAGCGATATTATGGATAGAGGACTAGTATTTTAGCCCGGAAGCAATGGTCTTGATGGAACTGTTTAGTACAAACACACAGCTTTTGGCTTCACAAGACTTTAACTGATGGACTAGATTCATGTGGATTACTGTGATGTTTTCATCAGCTGTTTGGACTCTCATTCTGACGGCACCCATTCACCATTGGTGAGCAAGTGACGTAATGTTACATTTCTCCAAATCTTCTCTTGTCAAAGAATAGAGCACATCTTCTATTTGCATATATTTCTGAATGACTTAAAAGTAAATACTGTGTAAAATAAGAGTTTAAATAGCAACTCCAGTATTTAAACAGTAGAACATGGTGCTAGCAACGAGAAGGTCATGGGTTCGATTCCCAGGGAATACATGCAATGATAAAATGTTTACTTTGAATGCAGTTTAAGTTGCTTTGGATAAAAGCATCTACCAAATGCATAACTGTAGATATGAGGGTAATTTTTGCAATCTTATTTTCTTTCATTAAATTGCATCATGCATGGACATTCTACCAAATTTCTTTTGTGTTCCACAGACGAAGGAAGGTCAATGGGCTGTGGCATGACATGAGCTGAGCAAATGACAGAATATTCATTTTTTGAACTATATCTTTAAGGCCGCTCAGAATTGAACAGACAGGATGTTCTGAACACTGCAGACTCACCTCCATAGATGATGCGCACAGAGTCGGCTACTGCATCCGACAAATTCGCTCTCAGCCATCCTCTCAGCTTCTCATGCACCTCCTGAGCCTGCAGCACACAAATAACAGGACGACTTTTTTCCAAAGCAAAGATCGATTTTAAGTTCCCCAAAGAACCATTCAAGTGACAGTTCTTTAAAAAAATTTATTTTCTTAGTGTAAAACATTTTAAAGGGGTCATATGATGCGATTTCAATGTTTCCTTTCTCTTTGGAGTGTTACAAGCTCTTGGTGCATAAAAAAAATCTGTAAAGTTGCAAAGACTAAAGTCTCAAACCCAAAGAGATATTCTTTATAAAAGTTAAGAGTCAGCCACACCTACCTAAAACGGCTCGTTCTAACACGCCCCAACATATTTCATGTTTTTGTCTCGTCGCTCCGGCCGGACACGGCATCAACAGTATGGTGAGGGGCGTAACATTTCCGTCTCACGCTTGAGGTATTCGGCCAATCACAACGCATTGGATAGCTGGCCAATCACAGCACATCTCGCTTTTTCAGACCGATGAGCTTTGTAAAAATCGACGCGTTTCAAAAAGGCAGGGCATAGAGGAGAAACAATAATGTATAGTATGTGGAAAATAATGTGTTTTTTTTACTTTAAACCGCATAAACACATTTCATTACACCAAATACACAAAATAATGTTCTTTTTAGCAGCATCATATGACCCCTTTAATGATCTGAAAAATCTCTTTCCACTACAAAAAGAAACTTTTGTGGAATGGAAAGGTTCCATGGAACCACCAATGCCAATAAAGACCCTTTATTTTTAAGAGTTAAGAGCAACACCAAATAAAGTACATGATCATAAACAGAATGGGCCTCATTCATGAAACACGAGCGGAACAATTTTTTGTGTAAATCATTCGGAAAGTCGTTCTGACGTAAATTTTCGGATTCATGAAAATGTTCGTATTTTGAAAATGTTAGTTGGTACGAAAGAAACCATGTGTAAATGGTGCATAAAACATTCAAACGTTCTGTATTCTTTTAGACAAACTGATGACACTGCATTTTTATGAACTATGTATTAGAATGATATGTAACGAGTACATTTGCCCTGTCTTTTTTTCGTTTTTTACTCTTTAACTTTGGATAAAACGCAGAGCTCGTCACTGTCCCTTTTTACACAGCCGTCCAATCACAGTGGAGGAGGGGCGGGACAAACACTACATTGACCAACCATCA